AACCTCTTTCTTTCAGTATGTGTAACTTGAAGCTAATTTGTACTACTGGATATCTGACTGGAGCCACAGATACAGAATCTGTTCTTACTGAAACACAGCATGGAATTCACATTAAACTTAAATAAAACAAACCTAAATTTAAAATGCCAAACATTATTGCACCTCCATCCCTTATATAGCTAAAAGAAAATCTCTAGTTGAAACAAAACAAACAAAACACACAGAATTATTGCTCTGGGAAAGGCTGATGTCAGGAAACTCTCAAAAGTGCTGAAGAGCAACAATGTCAGTCTGGAGACTAAGGTACATCTGATTCAGGCCATGGTCTTTGCAATCACTTGGTATGCATCAGAGAGCTGGACAAAGACCAAAGATGACAGAAGAGTTGATGCCTTTGAGTTATGGTGTTGGAAAAGAGTGCTGTACATTTCATGGACTGATAAAATAACCTAACAGGTCTGCCTGGATGAGGCTGAAACCAAGATTCTCCTTGGAGGCAAGGATTTTGAAGCTCCGTCCCACACACCTTGGGCATGTGGCCAGGAAGGACTGGTCCCTGGAGAAGGACAACATGCTTGCAAAGGTGGGACAGCTCAGGATAAGAAGACCCTGGATGAGATGGATTGACACAGTAACTGGGTAAATGGGGATAGCTGTCTTAGAGACTGTGAGATTGGCTCAGGATAAAGCAAAGTTCAGAGCTACTACTGTACATATAGGGTTGCTGAGTCACAGGAGGCTCTATGGCACAGAACAACATTTATTTAACATAAAAATGGACACAATTTTCTTTATGGTTTCTTAAGAAAGGCTTTCTTGCTTTACCTATATAGTTTCTCAACCATATATTCTTTTATCACTTTCATGGTTCCATTTTTACATTTAAATAATTGGAGGGAAAGTAAAAAAAAAAATTCACCCAAAACATTGAGTAGACACAGCCAATGCAGTAACTTTCATCTAAGATAAGAAAAACAAATTTTTGTATTTCAGGGTGGGGTTCTCAGAATTTTGTTGCTGTTATTAGGTGCCACTGAGCCAGCAGTGACTTGCAGAGAACCCAGGAACAGTAGATCTGTACTTTGTCCTGTTCTATGCCATCCTCAACATCTTTGATATACTTGAGCCCACTGTTATAGTCACTGTGACAATCTATGTTATTGTTATTGAGGGTCTTCCTCTCTTTCACTGATATCCACCTTGCCAAGGATGTCTTTTTCCCAAGGATTGGCCCCTCCTAATGAAGTATATCAGATGAAGTTTCACCATCCTTGCCCCTAAGGAACATTCTAGTTGCACTTTTTCCAAGACATATCTATTTGCTCTTTTTAAGGTCTATGGGATAGTCCATACTCTTTTCCAACACCACAACTCAAAAGACATCAATATTTATTTTGTCATCCTTATTCCTTATTCACTGTTCAACTTTCAGATGCACACCAAGTAAAAGAAAAGACCATGGCTTGATTCAGATAGACCTTAGTCTTTAAACTGACATCACTGCTCCTTAGAACTCTGGAGAGGTCCTTGATAGCAGGTTTTCCCAATGTGATACATCTTTTGTTTTCTTGACTGTTGGTACCAAGAGTGTTAACTGTGGATCCAAATAAGATGAAAATGTTTAAAATGTCAAGACTTTCTCCAACTATCATCATTTTACCTATAGATCTAGTGGTGAGGAATTTTGTTCTTTTGATGTTGAGATATAATCCATATTTAAAGATATAATCTTTGATCTTCTACAGCAACTGTTTGAGGTCGTCTTCATTTTCAGGAGCAAGGATTTAGTTCTCAAAAAAAGGAGCACTGGGCCTTGTATTTTATACATATTAACAATTTCAGGAGAAGAAGAGCAAAGTGAATAACAAGAACCAGAAAGACTGAGATCTATATCCAGACTCATGAAAGACATAATTATATTTAATAATTTGATTTCCTTTCATTAAGAATAGTTTCTCAGAGAAAAGCCCAAGTGAAAATTCCATTAAAAATATTTTACTGCCCATGGTATCCATATCAGCACATTTTTTTAGTCATAAATGCAGTATTGTTTTTAATACTTAAAATTATATAATACTTATGCTGCTTATTATTAACTCTTATGATCAGTCTCAAAGATATACTGAGACAATGTCACAACTTCTCTGTTTTAGTTATGACACTTGTAATTTAATACAATTTTTTAATTCCACAATAACATTTATTATTTTTAAAAATAAATTTCTTTAAAGACAAATTTTAACCATGGTATTTTCAATTATTTGTTTTGCACCTGAAAGTTGGACCGTGACGAAGGATGACTGAAAAAGAATTAATGCCTTCGAATCATGGTGTTAGAGAAAAGTGATGGATAACCTACGCACTGACAAGAGAATAAACCAAAACATCATGGAGAAAGTGCAACTAAGGAGCTTCCTTGGAGGCAAGGATGGTGAAGCTTCATTCTACATACTATGACATGTCCTTTTAGAAGGACATTATGACTGAAAAGGTGGAGGGTCATTGAAAAAGTAAAAGGCCCTCAACAAGATGGAATGACACAGTAACTGTAACAATGGGCTCAAGTTCAAGAGAGGTTATGAGGATGGCACAGAAAAGGGCAGAGTTCAGATTCATTGTTTATGGAGTCCCTATGGTCATACATACATGATGGCTGGCACCTAATAACAATAAAGAAAAGGGAACTCTAGTCACCTGCTGGTAAGAAGCTGTGTTGTAAACCGTAAGGCACACAGTTTAAATCTACCAGTTGCTCTGTGGCAGAAAGAAGAGTTATCTCCTCCTGTGTGGTTTAAAACCTCAGAAAACCTGCTGGAGATTCAGGTAGGAGTCAAATCCAACTTAATAGTATACAACAGCAAGAAAAAAACCATTGTATTCCTAATAAAACACTTTTACCTAGAACAATGGAAATAATCTCTACCACAGTCACTTATAATTATTGGTACATTTCTCTACCATGTTGTTGTTGTTAGGTGCTACTGAGTCGAACACAACTCATAACGACCCTATGAACAACAGATCTGAATCCTGTCCTATTCTGTGCCATCCTCACCATCTGTTAGCATTTACTAAATATATTCCAACTACTTCTTTGTGCTTACTTAAGCTTCTTAATAGGCAAGGAACTCTCTAAATGCAGGCAGACCAAGTCCTATATATCCTTTCCTCGTCTCCAGTTTCATCCAAGAACTTAGCACAGAACTGATAAATAATGGATGTTGTTATGTGCCATTGAGTTGCTTGTGACTCATAGCTAAACTATGTACAATAGCCCTGAAACCTCCTCTATCTTGTGCCAACCTTATTGTCTCTGACTTACCTATCCTGATTACCCTAGTTACTGAATCAATCAATCCATCTCATCAGGGGTCTTCCTCTCTTGCACTGTCCTTCCAAACTTCCCATCATGATGTCTCTCTTCATAACATGCCCAGTGTATGTCAGATGAAGCATCAGAATCCTTGCCTCCAAGGAGCACTTTGGTTTCATTCTCTCTAGGATGGACCTGTTTGTTCTCTTGGCAGTCCATGGTATATCCAATACTCTTTTTTCAGCACCACAGCTCAAAGGTATCAATTCTCTTTCCATCATCCCTAGTCACTGTCGAGCTTTCTGACGCATAGCAAATAATTGCAAAGATTATGGTCTGGATCAGGCACATTTTAGTCTCCAGACTAGTCTTTTTAAATTAAAAACTAGGCAAAATTTTCCCAGATGAAGTGACCCTTTTCTAATCATTTAATATATCCTTCTTTCTTTATATTCCTACTCTTGTAAACATCTAGCTCATATAATGTTATATGATTTATTACTAAGAGTTTTAAATATTACCCAATAATATTAC